CGCCTCCTCGTTTGTGTAATTTGTTAGTCTGTTCATGGATTTGCTAAGACTATATTTTCTAACATAAGCATCCTGTAATGCTGCTAAGTGTCAGATTTTGCTCATCAACTTGAAATAAGATCTTCTGATTTGTTGGTACTATTGATTGTTTTAAAGAAATTCGACTGTGTTTCCTAATGTAACCTGGGCTTTGTTTACTGGATATTGAGCCTTAATGTTGGTATTACATATGAATGTTGTTTGATCGGGTAGAATTGCCTTCTCAGTAATTTTGAAGTAATGATTGTTTTGGAAAAATACAGTAAAGAAGATTTAATTACAATTTCAGACACAAACAGCTCATTTGTAGCCAACACAACCATTGCAAATTTTCTTTTGGAAACCTGAAAAATAAAAAATGCCATTGCATATATGTACAAATGTGGGTGTTTTACGTGTAAGATTTTTAGCAGAAAATGCAACAGCATTGTGTATTGCACTGGTTTGATTTTTTCCCCCTGCAATCCTATTATGGTGTTTTAGAAGACAGCTTTTAAAATACTGATCGCTTTCATACAGTGTCACTTTCAAGGTCTTTCTTGCTCTGTAACTGCTGTCATGTCTGTTCACTGTTATGGGCTATGACTTAATATTCACATACACTCAACACTGAAAATAAAGCATTGATTCCTGAATAGCAGCTGTTACTATGGCTTGGTTTTGTCCAAAATGTGAGCAATGTCAACTAATTTACCATCTATATACTTGGAGAGCCTTAGTCACAAATGTTAGAAAATATCAAAGGTTTACATGATGGCATGGGAAAGTATAATGCCTGTCATATTAAGAAAGCAGTGTTAAATATCTCTACACCAATGACAGTCTTGTATTTTCATTTCTTTGAACAACTACAAAATGTTTATATAACATTCTTCAAACATCACTTAGGCTATGATATGACTACTTTGTGCTTGGAACAGTTCACAGCCGAGTGTGAAGCGGTGGGAATGAGGATCAGCACCTCCAAATCTGAGGCCATGGTCCTCAGCTGGAAAAGGGTGGAGTGCCCACTCCGGGTCAGGGACGAGTTCCTGC